GCGTGAGAAACTTGAGAGAACTAGACAGAGGAAACCTGGTCAGACAGTGGGATATGATCCCACTTGATCAAAATGAACTTGAAAATCAATAAGGAGGTGTGCTATCCGTGCAGTAAGTCGATTAATATTGGGCAACCTATGCTTGAATGTGAAAACTGCACCAAAGTTATCCATACTAGATGTTTTAAATCTGCTAGTTTTAAGTGCAAGAATGGCCTATGGATGTGCCCAGAATGTGCACTTATCACAGAGGATAGGTACTGCCCCTTTGACAATCAAAACGATCTCGAAAAGTCGGACAGGCCTTACAATGAGGGTGCAGAAGACACCCTCATCCAAAAATTTTGTCATACCCTCGAGAGCTGTAAACGTTATTCCAAACGTGAATTCACAGAAGTAGCTACAAAAATCAGCAGTGGTGATGGATCCTTCCTCTCAGCACTGTTCCTCAACATTGATGGCAATGCCAGTAATTTCGATACATTCCAAGTTGAACTCAAACGGTTATCTCATCCATTTGATGTTCTTGGACTTGCTGAAACCAACGTTGGTAGTAGCTTACAAGAATTATACCAGATCCCATCTTACACCAGTTTTTATCAAAATACCCTCCCAGATAAGAAAAAGGGCACTGGGGTTGCGCTTTATGTCTCAGACAACCTTAACACTGTTGTCCTAGAAAAGTTATCCTACTGTACTGTAAACATTGAATGCTTATTCGCCGAAATCACTGATAGCACTGGTGTTGGGGTTGTCTACGGAGTTGTATACCGTCCCCCTAGTGGCTGCCTTGAGGCTTTTTGTGAAACTTTACAAACCATTGCTAAGCAGATATCCGGCAAGCCCTTTCGTTTGCTTGGCGACTTGAACTCAGACCTCTTCAAAGTTTCGTCACACAACCAGTTATTTGAAGACACTATAATTAGTAATGGTTTGTATCCATCCATCTCAATTGCTACCCACTTCCGGCCTAATTGTAAAAACTCGTGTATAGATAACATCCTAGTTAGTGATATTGATAATGTTTTGCTCTCTGGTGTACTTCAGGATAGATTAAGTGAACACACGTTCATATTCTCCTTCACCTCAACCCCGGCCCCAAGAAATAAGAACAATGAAAAACATGTCCGCTACTACGACTACTCAAGTGCCAAGCTTAAAAATTTTGTTTCTGACCTTGAGGTGAAGGTGAATCAGCTGTCCCAATCTTCAGATTTTTGCGAATTTGTCGATTGCTTCAAATCCACCCTTGACAAGCACTGTAAATTAGAAGTACCGAAAACGACCAAAAGAACACCAAAGCTTAATCCTTGGATTACAGATGGAATCATCCTCTCAATCGACAGAAAACATGAGCTTTGTAAAGAATGGTCAGATACAGTAACAAATAAAGATCCATCTGGCAATGTCCTTCTTTATAAGATATTTAGTGACTATCGTAGGATGCTTAAGGGTATCATAAAGGCAGCCAAACGCTCCTATTACTGTAACGAAATCTATAAAAACATTGAAAGCAGTAAGAAAACTTGGCAGATAATAAATGAGCTTAGGGGCAAAAGAAAGAAAACAACCAAACCACCTTTCATCATCAATAATGAAAGAATCTTGAACCGGAGAGCAATTGCCAATGGTTTTAATTCCTGGTTCGTATCAATTGCTCCCAAGCTCAATGAAACTATCACAACTGACCTGTCTTCTGGTATTCCAATTCTCCCCATGAAAACATTCCATGACTTCCTTAGCCCTAGTAACTCTCGATCTATTATGTTAGAGGACAGCACTCCTGAGGAGATTCTAAGAATAATCAAAGAATTCGAGAATGGAAAGGCCAGTGATATTCCCATAACCGTTATTAAAACTTCGTCCCACGTTATTGCACCAATTATCAGCAGATACTTAAACAAACTTATGTCAAATGGTATATTCCCTGATATACTTAAGACTGGCAGAATCACACCCGTCTTCAAAAAAGGTAATCCAGAAGAAATAGAAAACTACCGTCCTATATCCACCTTGTCCATATTTGGCAAAATATTTGAGAAAATCATATATTCTAGGATTTATTCGTTTGTCAGCTCTCAGGGAATAATATCCAAGACTCAGTTTGGTTTCAGGCAATCGCACTCAACCTCCCATGCAGTAAACTACTCTGTTGACCTCATATCTAAGCACATCAAATTGAAGCACCATGTGTTAGGCATATTCATCGACCTCAGCAAAGCTTTCGATACTATAGATCACTCAACATTACTTACCAAACTAGAAAGGTATGGCATCCGTGGCGTGGCAAACGATCTGATCAAGAGCTACCTAACTAATCGATTTCAGTACACTGATGTTGTAGGAGAAAAGTCCGACCTACTTCCAATAAAATTTGGGGTTCCCCAGGGGTCAATTGTCGGACCCCTTTTATTCCTACTTTACATAAATGATATCTCTAATAGCTCTAGCTTGGGATCGTTTGTCACCTTTGCGGATGACACCAACATATTTGTTGTTGGTAAAACTGCACAAGAAGCATATGAACGCAGCAACGCCCTACTTTCAAACCTTCAAACATACATGCGGGCTAACAAGCTTCACATAAACATGTCAAAATGCTGCTACATTCACTTTAGACCTAAGTCACGTACTGAAGCAAACGTTGAAGAAGAATTCATAATGAATATAGACAACTACCCCATCAAAAGAGTAACGTCAGCTAGATTTTTAGGAGTCGTCATTGACGAAAATCTAACATGGGAAGAACATATAATAGCCCTAAAACGAAAGCTTAACCATGCCACCTCAACTCTGTGTCGTCTACGCTGCTCCCTCCCAGAATTTCTCCACAGACAGTTATACTACACTCTTTTTGAATCCCATCTGTCGTACTGCATATCAGCATGGGGTGGGGCAGCTAAAAATCGTGTAAGCTCAATATTCACTGCACAGAAGTACTGTCTGAGGGTCTTGTTTGGTGATAGAGCAGCCTACCTGGATAAATTCAAAACGTGTGTTCGAACCAGACCATTTACTGACCAGAAACTTGATAGTAAATTTTATAAAAAGGAGCACACTAAACCTCTGTTTAAAAACAACGAGATACTCACTGTACAAAATCTTTATACTTACCATAGCTACATAGAATTATTCGAGATCATGAAGTTTTCTACTCCTATGTCTATGTACGAAGAGTATTCTCGTTCTTCCAGGAAACCAATGCTTATTATCAATAAACCGGATCCCCCAGACAACCATAACACGAGGTCAACGAAAATATGGAATATAATAACCCCTAACCTTAAAATCTTTGATTGTTCTGTTAGTATTTCTTGCCTGAAATCCAAACTGAAATCTTCACTACTTTCCAACCAGCATTGTCATGCCGTGTATGACTGGACAAATAAAGACTTTGATATTTGTAACCTTCAATTTTCGTAGGCTCCTGCAGGGATTCCACCTGACCTCCAAAATTTCATGACCAAATTGACTTACTCTGCCAGCGTATTCCTCTGTCAAGTTAAATGTGATGTGTGAGTGAGTTAGTGTAGTGTAAAGAGATCCTATTTTATATCCAATTTGAATTCTAATAAAGACCCTAAGCATTATGATCAAATTTTTAGTACAATAGTTATATCAGGGTTGACATCTATGATTAATATTATAACCCAATATTCATTTCTTTTTCTCCCTTAAATTTAAACCCCCACTTAGACATTTAGCTATGATTTAGTATTGAACACCCAAAATACTTACCATACTTAATAATCGTAAAGACCATTTGTTACAAAATAGCTGCTAGAATAATGCATGCCAAATATTCCCTCTTACACCCACAAATTATAATGCCTTCCTATCAACGCCTCTAATTTGGTCACTAATCAACCAGACTAGCGTTCTGGTGTGTACAAAAGCTACCAGCCAGTACATTCCTTGCCCCGCTAGTTGATTGTCAAAAAATCATACAGCTCAGAACAAACGGCCATTTACCACTAAGAGCATTATATGTTTTCATTTGTTTAAATTTTATGCTGTAAAATGTGCTAAAACTTTGATTATTTGTTTAATTGATTATTTGTTTAATTGATTTTCACCCAAATTGCATGTGGGCGGTCATACATACAGAAATAATCTTTCATTTTATAAAACTGATATTGATAGGGCAAGTGAATATTGGTTTTGCATTCCATGATGTAAAATCCTCTGGACAGTATCTTAAATAGCTAACTGCCCCAAAGCCCATAAGTCTGTACATTTTTATGGGACTAAACCACACTCAGAACCATATTTAATACTTCATTATAACAAGCAGGCATGTCTTAAAGATAATGCCTGGAAGTTTAAAATAAACACATTTGCAACCCTGTCTCTGCTTGTCCTGTTAAATTCCTACTATGTACTATTGACAGGGGTTGGAAATTGGATGAGAGAGAAAGAATGGTAACAGTTAAAGACTTTCATTCTGATGATCTATTCACGAACTCATCCATAGACATAACCTCAGAGGTTGAAGGCAAACACTCAACTGAACTCTTTACACAGGTTTTGTTTTATAAATGTATTGAAAAGTTATCAAGTTGTTCAGTTACATATCAATTAACCTATTTACAAAGGTTTTATTCAATTATGTGACAGAAAATGCAATGATGGAACCTATAAAATTATTTAACATGTCATAGCAATGAAATATAAAGATAAATGGTTAATCATAGGAAGCAGTGAAGATCATTGAAAGTCATGATGATAAGAAACCTATGCTTCTATATTTGTCCTATACTGCCCCTCATTCCCCTCTTGACCCTGATGATGAAATTGGCAAGTTAATAACAAATCATTCAAAGGAGCAGTAAAGGTGTGATTTTCTTAAATTAACCTTACTTTCATTTTGTTAATAACAGTCGTTTCAAATGTTCACTTTTCAAGGAATTTTCACTTTTTCAGTTCAAAACAGGAATCAACATATAGTTGACAAAGCAAAACGGCAGTATGCTGCAATGGTAACTCAAATAGATAATGGAGTAGGAGAAATTGCTGATGCTTTATCAAGAAAGAAAATGTGGGATAACACTGTGTTCTTATTCATGAGGTGAGTGTGTGGTTGATTCAGATTTTAATTCTTGTTTGCTCTAATTATGTTACAGTCATGCTCTGGCTTCTCCATTTACTTAATTGTGTTAATATGGATATACAAAAAAGGTGCAGTCATTCAGCCAAATTCTGATCTATCAGCTCAAATCTATAACACTGAACCCGATGAACTGGTTTCTTTTCAATTCCTCCAATTGCATTAGAATCCAATTACACTTATTATTGCCCTCCCATCAAAAGCTTGATCCCAAGCTGAAGATGCCATACATAGTGCATACTACATAGCATCTATCATCAATATGTAACACCAGTCATTCCTCCCAGTGATCACGGTGCTGCAGTTATGCCAAACAACTGTTGGGACACTATTGGTGGGAGTAACCTACCTTACAGGGACGGAAAAGGTTAACTAAACGATTCATTCAACTTTCACCAAATGTATCTTAAGTTTTGAATTTGTTCATGCCTAATGTTGAACATTTTTGCCATTATTTATACATTTCCACCCCAGGTTCATATTTCGAGGGAGGTATAAAAAGTGCTGCTTTTATCTGGACTCCATGGTTAACTGATGAACAAAGAGGAAAGCGAAGTCCTGCTCTGTTACACGCAGTTGATGTTTATTCTCTGATGCTGGCTGCTGCAGACGATAAGCTGTCAGGTTTAAACAGTCTATTAATACTGGTTAGATAAGACTGAAAGATGATTCTAGTTAACAAAATTGATTAATTACCTAAGTTTCTAGTTACAAATATGATAATATTGATCTAACAGTTTGTTCGATCAGGGAGTTTGTCTAGTAGATTTAGAAACTCTAGTCAGTCTACAAGTCCAGAACTTGACTCTAGAAACTTCTTGATTGATGTTCTTAACGATAACCATGCTGGGAGGTGAGTTAAATTACTGTTTATGGCAATTCAGTAATGTGGTAAAGCACGGTTAACGCACGGTTAAGGCACGGTTAAAGCACAGTTAAGGCCCTGTTTATTTCAAAACTGTTTACAATTTCAGCTTTGTCAGTTAACACTCACACAGTTTATTAACATACAAATCTATGGACAACAATGTACATAATGTATTTTATTGATATGAATTTTAAAATTTGCAGAGAATTTTAACAAGCTAGAAATATGAAGTAGGTTTTGACATAGAAGCTCGAATCAAATCAAATATCTTTCGTCATTGAAAATATTTCAGGGAGACCATTCTGCACAATCTTGTAACTGGTCCTTTTCCTGAAGGTAAAACTGGACACTACTGCAGCCAAAAATTCGGAAAACCATCAAATTATGCTGTCCTTAGACACAAAAAGTTCAAGCTATTTTATGGCAATGGGCTTGAAAGCTTCTGCCAAGCAGATTATTTGCAGAAAATCTGTTCTGACATACTCGATAAGCCTTCAGGTTTGTTACCTACTTTTATCCTGTCTTCTTAGTAAAATAACTGTTGTATCTGCCCACAGTTAGACAATAAGTCAGCAACATTGTAGACAGTAACGTACTAGCCCTGTTAACGGGTTGGTTTAATTTTACAGAATATCAATGTGTTTTATCAAAGTTATAGGGGGGGGGGGGGTGTCACGTCCGTCTATGTCCGCTTGTCTCATAGAATCCAAAAAGGACAGGACATAGGCGGACATAGGCGGACATAGACGGACATAGGCGGACATAGGCGGACATAAGCGGACATAGACGGACATAGGCGGACATAGGCGGACATTAATGGACACCTAAATTGCTAAATAAAATGTTCAATTTTTGCTGTTATAGGGGGATCACGTTTTTTGTCCGTTCGGTACCCTATATTTTCAAAACGGATAAAAAAAAAGCGGACAAAAACGGACAAAAATGGACAAAAACGGACAAAAATGGAAATAACATTTAGATGCTTCCTCCTCCTACTCTTCCTCCTCCTCCCCATGGATCTTCCTGATCTTCCTCAGTCTTCTTCCTCCTCCCCTCCTCAGTCCTCCTCCTACTCCTCCTCCTCGTCCTCAGTCCTCCTCATCAGTCCTCAACAGTCCTCCTCCTCCCCAGTCCTCCTCCTTCTCCTGGGTCCTCCTCCTGGGTCCTCCTCCTGGGTCCTCCTCCTGGGTCCTCCTCCTGGGTCCTCCTCCTCCTCTTCATCCTCCTCCTCTTCCTCCTCAGTCCTCAGTCCTCCTGAGTCCTCCTCATCATCCTTCTCCTCAGTCCTCCATCCTCCTCCTCAGTTTTCCCCCAGTCCCCCTCCTCCTCCTCCTATTCAGTCCTCCTCCTCCTCCTCCTCCTCCTCCTCAGTCCTCCTCCTTCTCAGTCCTCCTCAGTCCTCCTCCTCCTCCTCCTGAGTCCTCCTCCTCCTCCTCCTCCTCTTCCCTCTCAGTCATCCTCCTCAGCCATCCTCCTCAGTCCTCCTCAGTCCTCCTCATCAGTCCTCCTCCTCCTGGGTCCTCCTCCTCCTCTTCATCCTCCTCCTCTTCCTCCTCGGTCCTCAGTCCTCCTCCTCCTGGGTCCTCCTCCTCATCCTTCTCATCAGTCCTCCTCCTCCCCAGTCCTCTCCCAGTCCCCCTCCTTCTCCCCCTCCTATTCAGTCCTCCTCCTCCTCCTCCTCCTCAGTTCTCCTCAGTCCTCCTTCTCATTTCTCCTAAGTCCTCCTCCTGAGTCCTCCTCCTCTTCCTCCTGAGTCCTCCTCCTGAGTCCTCCTCCTCCCTCTCAGTCATCCTCCTCAGTCATCCTCCTCAGCCATCCTCCCCAGCCATCCTCCTCAGCCATCCTCCTCAGTACTCCTCAGTCTTCCTCCTTCTCAGTCATCGTCAGTCCTCCTCCTCAGTCCTCAGTCCTCCTCCTCCTCCTCCTCCTGGGTCCTCCTGGGTCTTCCTGATCCTCCCCAGTCCTCTTCCTCCTCCCCTCCTCAGTCCTCCTCCTACTCCTCAGTCCTCCTCCTACTCATCCTCCTCGTCCTCAGTCCTCCTCATCAGTCCTCAACAGTTCTCCTCCTCCCCAGTCCTCCTCCTCCTTCTGGGGCCTTTTCCTGGGTCCTCCTACTGGGTCCTCCTCCTCCTGGATCCTCCTCCTCCTGGGTCCTCCTTCTCCTCCTCAGTCCTTCTCCTCCTCCTCAGTCCTCTTCCTCCTCTTCCTCCTCCTCCTCCCTCTCAGTCATCCTCCTCAGCCATCCTCCTCAGCCATCCTCCTCAGTCCTCCTCCTTCTCAGTCCTCCTGAGTCCTCCTCCTGAGTCCTCCTCCTCCTCAGTCATCCTCCTCAGTTCTCCTCCTTCTCCTCCTAGGTCCTCCTTCAATTCTGGGTCCTCCTCCTCCTCCTCCTCCTCCTGGGTCTTCCTGATCCTTCTCCTCCCTCTCAGTCATCCTCCTCAGTCATCCTCCTCAGTCATCCTCCTCAGTCATCCTCCTCAGCCATCCTCCTCAGCCATCCTCCTCGGCCATCCTCCTCGGCCATCCTCCTCAGTACTCTTCAGTCCTCAAAATGTTTGTCCGCTAATGTCCACCAATGTCCGCTAATGTCCACCAATGTCCGTCCAAGTCCGCCAATGTCTGTCCGGGTCCGCCAATGTCCGTCCGAGTCCGCCAATGTCCGTCCGAGTCCGCCAATGTCCGTCCGAGTCCGCCAATGTCCGTCCGTGTCCGCCAATGTCCCAAAAAACACGTCCGTTGTCTCATAGAATCCAAAAAGGACAGGACATAGGCGGACATAGACGGACATGACACCCCCCCCCTATAGGTCAGTCATTTTTTTGGTATCAGTCAAATGTTACGAGTTATCACTTTATCAGATC